TGCTTTTAAGCATATGATTAATTAAATATGCTGAATTGATTCAATATGACTGTGCAAAATGAATGATGTGGTGTAATTTCAGTGATAACTGCCATAAATATTAGTAATTTTATGCATTCTAAAAATGTATACAGCACATACACAGCTGTTTTGTGTGTGTCTCTGTGTATGTGCATCTATACATACTGTATATTTGAAACAGAAATCTTTTGTAACATTATAAATGTCTTCACAATTGAAGGCGTTAAACGACCTAAATGTATTAAATACCAAAACAAACAAACTAACAAAAAACAACCTGACTAAATCATAAATAAATATGAATACAGGAGGTATTGACAGCCCTAATTATTACAAATTTGAATGAGAAAAACAATACTATGCACTGCATCACCCTGATACATATAAAGTACCTAAAGACAACAACACAATCACGAATGCTGTATGCTTTCAGCCAGTTTCAAATGATCTTTCCTCCTCTTCCAGTCTTATTGCTCTGATTCCCTAAAATGCAATTATGGTCCGGAGACACAGATAGCACACTCAGCTCAATGTCCAATTAGCCTGATTCATGAATACAGGCTCTGAGAGGAACTTATATCTGGATGCTTAAACGAGTTTCTGCGCCGCTCACGAATCCCTGCAGTGCTATCCTGCATCAGCCAACACAGAAAACAATCACCTGAACAACTGGAGGATGTCAGCAGCCAGTGTTTCCTGTCACAGCGCTTATGGAGTTCACAGACTTACTTTCACTTTTTTTCATGTCTCCATGTCAGGAGTTCTTGTTTTCTATAACAATCTGTCTTGATTCATTCTGAGCATGTAGGCATGACAGATTGAGGTTGCCAGATCATCAACTTACTCATTGCCCAGAAACTCCCACGTGCTCTCTTTAGAATGAACATTTAATTCACAGTGTTTGACATAATCTAAATTCATCTCAGGGTTTGATATGAAATGTGACTGGAAGTCATTTGCAGCATTTTAAAGCATTATAGGTTTTCACAACATGAAGGATGTTCCAAAAGTTAAGCTTCCATAATTGCTTTGTTTTAAGATAGCTTTATTTGAATTAAATTTGAATAAATTTGTCTGAATCACATATACAGGGCTCAAAAGTAAGGATACAAACTTAAATGTTTTCTTTAATATAGTCTATATCTATATAAATATATATACACACATATATACACACACACACACACACACACACACACTCAAACACACAAACACACACACACACACACACACACGTATAAGTATATATGTATTCTTCTGATTGTCACCAAGACTTAACCCAGAATTTATTTAGCTAGTTTAACATAAATTATATTTTGTCATATTTGTAAAAATGACTAGAAAAGTATAGAAAGCATTAGCAAGAATGTTTGCTAAAGAATGTTTGTGTTGTAAAAACTACACATCATACTGCAATGTTTTGCAACCTACAGTATGTCTGTTTTCCAGCAAAAATATTTATACATTTAAGAAGTTACATAATATCTGTATAATTTCTAGATTGTTGCATTTTTTCCTTTTGTAAATAATAATTAATAAATAAAATAAAAAAGTAATTACAATTTCATTAAGTAATGACAACAAAAATAAGGAAAATTCTGATAAGGAAAACATTTATATTACAAACATTTCTAGCATTTAATAAATGCATTTCTAAAAATATATATATCTTTTTATTATTATTTTGTGGTGAGGCCACATAAAATTTTGGCAGGGCAAAGAAAAAAATCTGAACTACTGGCCAGCAGAAAAAAATCCTTACTGTTGAGCCCTGCATGTAACCTTTGTGGCAAAGGCAATCCCAGAATGCACTGTGATGACTTGTATTTCATCTAATACCAAAAGATATTTGTGCAATCTAATTACATACTATTTCATCAATATTAGTGTATGCCATGATTTTATGCTTTTTGTCTAACAGCAAGAAGTTGAAAATGTCGGAAAGCTCTGAAGACTAGATTCCACATCCCAATTTGCAGCATAAATTTATACTATGCACTAAAAGAATATCATAGCACAGCATTTTGTTACCACATACCATTTTATCACATGTAAAATTAACTTAAAATTCAGTCAAAACAGGACCATCACAAACTCTTCCTTTCCACTGCACAAAAAGCATCAACGAATACTTAAAGTAGGATGTTGCAAGCACAAAGCTCTAGCCACATGTCAACGGCATTATGGGACCACAGCTGTTCCTCCCAAATATGTTAAGGTAAATATTCCATGACAAACAGCTTGCAGGTCAACCATGGACATTGCCTTAAGCAGAACATGCGGAAAGAGTGTGGCTTATTGATGTGAAAGAGGTCTCCAGCCATAAATGATTGATGAGACAGGTAGGGCAGTGGACAGTTTCAGCATGAATTGATGCAGAGGCTCCAGAGACTGTGGAAACAGGAAGACAGCACGCTCTGATAGACACGGCTGAGATTATGCGCCCGCAGACAGGAAGAAGATTAGAAGTTTTCTGGTGGACCAGTACACCAGATTCGGCTGAGAGATGAAACAGTTTTTGCTTTCCACTGTACATGATTTTTGCTAAAAATGTATATGCAGGTGGATAATGCCACCAGGCTTTGGGTGTTTGTGTGACTGAACCGCCTCCTGCTATTGGTAACAACAGTGGGTCACTTTGCTGTTTTTGGCGTGTCAGCAGACAGCGCTGAATTGAGCATAATGGGCTCTGGTTGGTGCCTCATCGTTATTCATTGAAGAAAGTGCATGTCTGTTATATGCCTCCGGGTGAGAGACCTTTAAGCGATTGTCTTAAAGCCACTGACATCTTTAGAGGGCATTCAAGGACACTGTGGACTGGCAGAAGGAAATTATATTCCTGACCTTCTGTGCCCCCAGAGTTCACAAAGCAAGGTATATCATTTCCTTCACATACTTCCTATGTGAATTGCTACACAGTATTATTGTACTGGAAAAAGAAGGAATCAAATTATTATACTAATTCCTACTAATTCTGTGAAATAAGTTGTAATTTGTATATGCAGAAATTGTTGTAATGTAAACAAGCATTCAGCATAACAAAGCATATAAAGATTTAATACTAAATTATAAATTATTAATATTATGCCATACAGTATATGCACCAAAATCATATTCCCACAGAATGATCTATTACCACCTAGTGGCTGAACTGAGGCAATACAGTGTTTTAATACTAATTTCTGTCTGTACCAACTCACAATAGCACATTTCCTTTTGAATTTCTAAGGGTTTGAGTTTTCAACTCTTAAAGGTTAAAAGATCATAAATAGACAGAGAAGAGAGAAAATATTGGTAACACTTTACTTAAAGCTGCAGTCAGTAACTTTTGGCGCTCTAGCGGTTAATAAACAGAACTGCATGCGTCTTGCGGAAGAACATTGTAGCCGGAACTACTTCTCTCTGTTTATGTCTATGATGAATCACGCAGGTACTGGGCTACTCCGCGGCGGTACCTACCGAGCCATTCTAGAATAGTCTGAATATAAACACTTATTATAGGTGTACCGTAGAGATTCAGGATAAGCCAAAAACACGGTTTGGAAAATGGATTCACGGTGTACTCGCTTATTATTTAATAAAGGTTATTAAAGGGTATAATACATTATATTTTGTTGTAAATAATATTATAACCAAATTTGAAATGCATAGTGTAACAATGAATTGATAAGTGTTATAATGTATTAACTGTGGTTACAATTATTCATTAGATTGTACAATATATAAGGTGCATTACAAGGCATAATTAATGCATTAAAACTACTTTTATAATGCATTATACACAAAGGCTTTAAGTAAAGTGTTACCAAAATATTCTGTGGATACTATATAATCGTCAACCTATGCTCTTGTCTTACAATCAAACTCACAAATACAGTTTATTGTTAAGAAAGTGAAACAAAAAAACATTTGAGGTTACCGGTTAATCCAAGCCTGGGGGAGTTTGCAAAGGAACAGAGAGCACTTACCAAAGACTTTACCCAGGAAGAGTGACTTGACCAGGGTGAACTGTGTGTCTGAGGCTTCTGGCAGGCTGTAGCTGACGGGAGGATAATGATCCAGCTACAAGAAAGACAGGTAGTAAGAAAAGAAAACAGAAAGACACAGAAACTAAATTATATACAAATGTCTGTTGCTGGTGGTCAAGTACAAATTGCCCATGCAATTAATATTTCTCTATAGTGGGCAATGGTGCCATCTACTGGTTAAATATTTAATCACTGACCATGCAGTCAAAGCACCACAGCATTTACAATTCACTGTTACCTCTTAAAATGAGGGAGTTTTATTTGTTACATATTTACAAAATGTATACATTTTATATAATGTACTATATATAACTGATATAAAACATCATTGAAATATATAACAGAGTATTATAAAAATAATTTAAAATATACTTTGTAATGTATTTTACTACTACTACTACTATTTTTTCTATGTATTTAATAATAGTTATAATTATAATATTATTTAATTTAATAAATAATAATTTAATTTAATAAACTTTTAGACATATAATTTACTTTTACTTATTGCACAGCAGTATTTTGAATATACAGTACAATCAAATGCACAATATAGGTAATTTTATTATTATTAATATATATTTTAAACATTTGCTTCCAGGTGTACATGTAGAGTTTAAAAAGTTCAGGGTTCGAACCAGCATTAGATTCAGATTTTATAATGTATTAACTGTGGTTACAATTATTCATTAGATTGTACAATATATAAGGTGCATTACAAGGCATAATTAATGCATTAAAACTACTTTTATAATGCATTATACACAAAGGCTTTAAGTAAAGTGTTACCAAAATATTCTGTGGATACTATATAATCGTCAACCTATGCTCTTGTCTTACAATCAAACTCACAAATACAGTTTATTGTTAAGAAAGTGAAACAAAAAAACATTTGAGGTTACCGGTTAATCCAAGCCTGGGGGAGTTTGCAAAGGAACAGAGAGCACTTACCAAAGACTTTACCCAGGAAGAGTGACTTGACCAGGGTGAACTGTGTGTCTGAGGCTTCTGGCAGGCTGTAGCTGACGGGAGGATAATGATCCAGCTACAAGAAAGACAGGTAGTAAGAAAAGAAAACAGAAAGACACAGAAACTAAATTATATACAAATGTCTGTTGCTGGTGGTCAAGTACAAATTGCCCATGCAATTAATATTTCTCTATAGTGGGCAATGGTGCCATCTACTGGTTAAATATTTAATCACTGACCATGCAGTCAAAGCACCACAGCATTTACAATTCACTGTTACCTCTTAAAATGAGGGAGTTTTATTTGTTACATATTTACAAAATGTATACATTTTATATAATGTACTATATATAACTGATATAAAACATCATTGAAATATATAACAGAGTATTATAAAAATAATTTAAAATATACTTTGTAATGTATTTTACTACTACTACTACTATTTTTTCTATGTATTTAATAATAGTTATAATTATAATATTATTTAATTTAATAAATAATAATTTAATTTAATAAACTTTTAGACATATAATTTACTTTTACTTATTGCACAGCAGTATTTTGAATATACAGTACAATCAAATGCACAATATAGGTAATTTTATTATTATTAATATATATTTTAAACATTTGCTTCCAGGTGTACATGTAGAGTTTAAAAAGTTCAGGGTTCGAACCAGCATTAGATTCAGATTTGTGCATTTTTATATATAGAGCCACTTTCATTTATACATTTACACTTGTCAAACAAAGTAGCTTAATTTGTAGTATAATAATTAGTATTATTTACATACCATTACATTTTTTATTAATATTTTGAATTAATTAGTAATTATTTATAATATTTATATTATTTATATTGTCTGTTTTCATTTTAATTACTAACTTTTCAATTTGTTATGTTTAATGTTACTTCTGTTTCAGTTTTAGTTCAGATTTTGTTATTTATTTTCAGTTAATAATTTTAGTGCTTCAAGTTCTTATGGAATATTTATATTTTATTTTATTTCAGTTTTCAATTAACAAAATAATTATAATAGTATTAGTTTTCGTTAATGATAACCCTGGCTTGATATAATTTTAAATATATATATATATTTTTTTCAGTCCAAAGATAATGCTGATATGCAGTAAGGCGGCAACAGTTGAATGCAACCACACACACACATGCACACACACATTCGGTGACAGCTTTAATTACCCCCGTTACTGCTGATTCACTGGCACTCCTAATTAGCATGAGGCATCTTAGCCTCGGTATTAAAAAGAATTAATTCCGCTAAATTACTTTTTTGTGCTTGAAGATACGGCTGCTCTCTTAGTCTCCTCTGTGTTGTGAAAGTGGCGCTCTCATCGCTGCGCACTGCCGTGAATACAAATTAGCCTCAAAGAAAGAAACGGAGAGTCCAACACAATAGCGTTTGCCTGACATATTTCAGCTCTAATTTGTTCCACTGATGTGGCGGACTGATAAATGCAAGCATGTTTATTCAGACGCCTCCCAGGTGCGTTTGTGCCGGGTAAATCAAGCAGGGGAAGCCCTCCCTCACCGCTAACGTTCACCGCTTGGTGAATCTCAGAAGACCTCGTGGGCTTGTGGTTCTGCCGCTGCTAATGGAGGAGGGTGTGTTGCCATTCGTCAACGGGATAATGTGACCAAATTAAATTGCTTTCAACCTGTTTACCTCTCAAACTAATGGGCAGCAGGGATGGAGGGATGACATGGAGAGAGGGACTGTCCCTTGTGGTGCTGCGGCCCCATTCTGACACGGCTAGTGCTAATGAGCCCTGCTGTGGGCCTATAATTAATCTCCATCCAAAGAGCCTCCTATCTGACAGGGCCCCTCCTGCACTGCCGCCACCCAGAGAGAGGACACTCGGCCTGGGAGGCCACAGCCAGATCCCCCTGGGGCGTTCACTGCTTTGACAGCACAAGCTTGAGTTATAGCCACAACCCCACTGAGAGAACAACTTAGAGAGTTACAGCGAATAAACAGGTGATAAACGAAAAAAGAATAAAATGATGGAAAAGAGAGTGGGAGTTAATAGACATGAGTCGTTCTAAGAAACGAGTTTTGGAAAGGTGCATTTTTAGGTACATTTTTGTAAGATTTTGAAACATTTCAAACCAAAATTGCTGCTGACAGGTGATGGCATCCTGTCACTCAGCAATCAACCAAATGAACAACAACTAAGAAGATTAATAAATAAAAATTAAACCGTAACCCTGTTTTTTTGTGTGAAATAAACAACAAATGAGAGTTAACTGAACAAAATCATTAAATGATAAATGAAACTGAACAGCAAAAAAGCCGGTTACACTTTATTTCGATAGTCCACTTTAGACATTCTATTAACTATAAGTAACTTTGTATCTATGTCAACTAATTCTCATTAATTTGCAACTACATGTCTACTAACTCTCAGAGTAGACTGTTAGGGTAGGTTTAGGGTTAGTAGAATGTTGACAAAGAAAGTGTTAGAAGATATTAAGCAGACAGTCTACTAATACTCTACTAACTGCTAGTTGACATGTAGTTGCAAAGTTACTTACTGTTAATAGAATGTCTAAAGTGGACTATCGAAATAAAGTGTTACCAAAAAGCCAAATAGTAATTAAAGTGGTGAAAGACTAAATAAATATATAAAATGTACACCTTCCCTTATATATATATAAAGCAAAAATGTATGCTTTTTAAACAATGCAATGCAATAAATTCTAAATACAATTATAAAATTTACAAAAAAATTGCAAACACACAAATACACACTCGTATACATTTTCCCCCAATAAAGACAGTAAAAATGCTACCAAAATATACTCCTTTAAAATATTTATATATATAAATAATATATTTATTTGTTTATACATAAATTATTATATTATATTATATTAAACATTGCAAAACACTTCCCTGACACTTCACTTCACCATAGTAAAATGAATAAATAATTAATGTATGAATATAGCCACAAAAGCAAATGATTATCAATATGATGATTATCCGTTTTTCACAATCATTTTAATTATTTGTTCAATTTTATGTACTTTTGTATACATTTTTATTTGTTTTGTAATGTTGCTATTTTAGTTGTTAATTTATTTTTATTTCAATTTTAGATTGTTCAGTTTTAGTTTGTATTTATTTTCAATAATTTTAGTGCTTAAAGTTGTTATCTAATATTTTTATTTTTATTTTATTTCTGCTTTACTTCAATTAACAAAAACATTCTAATAGTTTTAGGTTTTGTGTACATTAACCCTGGCTTGATATCATTTTTTACATATTTTTTTTTAGTCCAAAGATCATCCTGATATGCAGTAAGGCGGCAACAGTTGTGTAAAAAAACATAGTAAGTAGGGCTAATCAACAAAAAACACTATTTCACAACTATAAAATTTCTGACAATTATTCATAACCACCAATTTGACTGAAATGGTGTTTAAAGAATAATGTTTTAGTGGAAAAATATTGGTAATTCTCACTTTGTTCACAAATCTCATAGGTTAGAATACATCACATCGGGTCATCAGATCTGATGTATTTGAACACATCTAAAGCTCAAATGGGATCCAAAAATTCCATACAATTAGAAGTCCACACAGCTCCTAGTGTTCTCCAGTGGAAATGAATGATTTCTTGTCAGATATAGTGAAAAAGGGGCTTAATGCAATAATAAAAACATAGTGCAAGGTCCACCACATTACTTTGATAGAAAGTTGACCTGATAGTGGGAACCCCAAAAGTATTCATTAATCTAAAATAATAATACATCCCAAAATGAAAGTACGCTCTGCTTTTTGCCTTAGGGTTTAACAAAAATCTTCAAAAACTTCTAAAAGATCAAGTACATCTGTTTGCTTTTCCCACATGGTTGTACTCTTAGTTATGTTTTGACCTTTCACTGTCTGATTCAAAAAGAGTGTGATGTTTCATTCAAAAGAAATATCACAGGCGTGGGTGTCTGGAAAGGTCAGCTGGACTGATGTTACTGTCTCTCATCTCATATTCCTTTTGAAGCAAGCTCTTTACTCTTCTGGAAAATGCACAGGTGGACAAAACCTGCATCACAGAAATCTAAAATGCTAAATCAGAATCTGATTCCTCAATAATTCACAAATATTTTATCACAATCTTTGACTGTTTTGATGAATAAATACTCAGGTCTGTAATCGAACATTTATCTTTAATATGATTTAAAACTGAAATGTAAATAATATCATTACAATTAGGACTGTAAGTAAATATATTTAATATAATATGCAATAATATCAGTGTTGCTGATCAACCTGTGACGATTCATTTATATTATGGAGGTTCCAGGTTCTGTTATGCCTCTGCATAAGTAGATGTATATCAGGAGTGGGGAAGCAATTGGATTTTGTTTTGTAATTTCCCTAGAATGAAGAGGGAGCCGTGGAGAAGCGATAGATTAAAATGCGTCATGCTGGAGAGAACACTGCCACGGACACTTTCCATGACTGATAAAAACCACAATGACCAATCAGCATAAAGAAATCACAAATTCCAGTGGCAGATCGTCATTCATTATAAAACATGTTAATGAGATGTCCCTGCCTTTAAATGATGTCCATAGCAGTATTCTGCAGTGTATTTTAGTGTCATTGCAATACATTTTTATCAATATTTTTATATTTTCTTTTAATAATAATTTCTTTTTTTTTAATATTTGTATTTTTCAGTTTTAGTTTTAGTTATTTCGTACCAAGAAATGTTGCCTTTGCAGCTAGATTAAATTTATATATTAGTTTACTATATTAACCCTGGTTTAAATATTTGGGTTCAGTAAGATTTTTTTTAAAATAAATTAATATTGGTATTTAGCAGTTATGCAACACTGATCAAAAGTAACAGTAAAACCATTAATAATGTTACAAAAAAATTATATTTTAAATAAATGCTGTTCTTTGTAACATTCTATTCATCAAAGAATGCTGAAAAAAAATGTAGCAACGTTTCCACAAAAATTGATAATAATAATAAATGTGATATTTATAATATTTCACAATATTACTGATTTTAAAAAATATATTTTTAATCAAATAAATGC